CCCTTGAGGACATGGCCTCTGTTTATAAAGGTAGCTGGCTTGTAGGAGGTGACTTCAATGAAGTCCTAAAAGCCAGGGACAAATTAGGGGGCAACAACATTAGTAGTAGTAGAAGCAATCACTTTTGGAGTTGTTTGAATCAATGTAGACTAGTTGACCTAGGCTTCAAAGGCTCTAAGTATACCTGGACCAACAAAAGATAACAAACAGGAATGACCTTATCCTTGAAAGGCTGGATAGGTGCTTTGCCACTGATGATTGGATTGAGTCATACCCTGAATCCTCTGTTACCCTCCTCCCCGGGACCCACTCTGACCACTGTCCTCTACTACTAAGCATAACTAGTCATCAGCACAGTGATCACATTAGGCCTTTTAGGCTAGAGACTATGTGCTGACTTCCCCACCATTGTTCAAACAACTTCAGCTCTACTAATGATCTGTTGGGGGACACCAACATCTTTAAGGCAAATGAGACCACTTGGAATAAGGTAGTGTTGGCAACATCTTCCACAAGAAGAAGCACATTCTAGCTAGACTGAATGGCATTCAAAAAGCTAATGCTTATCCTTTCAACACCTTTCTTCAAGACATAGAAGCCAATCTCCAAGCTGAATTCTCAGCTATCCTCCAAAACGAAGAGGATTTTTGGAAGCTGAAATCCAGAGTTAGCCGGTAATGTCAAGGAGATGCTTACACCAAGTTCTTCCACACAACCACCCTCAGCAGCAGCAGCAGCAGAAGAAGAAGAAGAAGAAGAAGAAGAAGAGAAGAAGAAGAAGAAATAGGATTCTTAGTTTAACAGATGAGGTAGGTAACCAGAATCAAGGAGACTACCAGGGACTTTTTTAAGAACCTCTTTACCACATCCCATACCTCATTCACCTACAAGAGATATTACGGTGAAGACAATCCACTAGTCCTTACTGATAGCATGAGGGCGTCCCTGGACCAACCACTTAGGAACTCTGAAATCAAGATAGCCATGAACTGTTTCAAGCCCCTTAAGGCACCTAGACCTGACGGGCTGCACCCTTTCTTCTACCAAAAATACTGGTCCATCCTATCTACCCATGTCAACTAGTTCTTCCAGAAAATGTTCAACACCTCAACCATGCCCTTGAAGTTAATAAGACCCTCCTGTGTTTGATTCCTAAATGCCAGAATGCCACCCTTCTAAAGAGCTTTAGACCTATTGGGTTGTGCAACACCATGTATAAACTTGTCACTAAAATAATAGTAAACAGGATCAAGCCTATCCTTCAGACTATTATTGGGCCATCTTAGGCCAGTATCCTCTCTAGCAGAAGAGCTACTGACAATGCCATAATTGTTCAGGAATACATCACCCATTTCCAAAAGATGAAAGGGAAAAATGCCAACATGATCCTCAAGATAGACCTAGAAATAGCCTTTGACAGACTTGAGTGGTCTTTCATCAAGGACTCCCTCATATTCTTCAAGTTCCCACTTAAATTGATCAACCTGATCCTCTCTTACATCTCCACTACCTCCATATCAATCCTGGTCAATGAAAGCCAAGCTGAGTCTTTCAACCCTACCAGAGGTATCAGGCAGGGAGACCCTATCTCTCCCAACCTATTCATTCTTTGCATGGAAAGGCTGTCAAGGAATATTGACCAGGCACTCCTAAGAAATGACTGGTTTCCAATCACCATCAGTAGGAAGGGCCTTAAATTCTCTCATCTGTTCTTTGCTGATGATCTCACCCTGTTTGGTAGAGCCAACAAAAAGAGTTGTGAAGTAGTCCTGGCTACCTTAAAGGAGTTCAATAGTGCATCAGGCCAAAAGGTCAGCTTTCAAAAATCTAAGGTTATTTTTTCAAGCAATTGTCATAAAGATTCGACAAATACATGCAGCTCAAGGCTAGGAATTAGGAAAAGCAAACATTTTAGTAAATACCTAGGCTTCCCCATCTTCCATAGGCCTACCAACAGAGACTTCCAATTCATTATTGACAGTATGAACACTAAACTGGCTGGTTGGAAAACCAAAATATTAAACATGGTTGGCCATACAACTCTAGCAAAATCAAGCATGGGGAGCATTCCTAGCCATGTCATGAGCTATATAAAGCTACCATCTCACATCTCCAACCGGATTGATAAAATTCAAAGGCTTTATATGGGGAACAACTGCTAAAAAAAGAAAGCTTCACATGATTAAATGGGATACTATTACTAAGCCTAAAAATGGTCGGGGTCTGGGCATTTAGCAAGCCCACATAAAAAAAGCTAGCCTGACCAGTCTAGCTTGGAGGCTCTACGACAACATTGATACCATGTGGGCTAGAGTACTGATTGGAAAACACTGTAGTGGTAACCAACCTAGAGCTAAACCTAAAACCAGGACTTGGCAGTGTATCCAGGAAAGATGGAAGGTCTGTCTTAAGGCCTCTAGATGGGTTGTCCATAAAGGGGATAGAGTCAACTTCCTCACTGATAATTGGATCTCCAATATGCAACCCCTTAACACAATCCTCCAGAGGCCTTGGCACAAATATGATCTGACCATTAAGATCAGCTCCATCCTCAACAATGGGGAATGGAACCTTGATGTTATCCACTACCCCATCCCAGGGACATTGAGTGTGTTCTTCAATCCACCTTCATCCCTCTTTCTACTAACTTTGAGGATAAGCTCATCTGGAACCTCAATAGCAATGGGCTTTTCAGCTCCAAATTTGCCTACAACCTAATTAGTTTTGAGACCAACTCCAACCTCAACCATGATGACACTTTCAGTTTGATTTGGAAGCTACGGGTCCCTAACAAAATTAAGTTCTTCACCTGGATAATGCTACATAACAGACTCTCCACTGCCATGCACTTAAACAATATAGGCTTAAATGTTATTCTATTATGTCATTTTTGCTCCTCTGGAGTAGAAGACATCAACCATATCTTCTTTGAATGCTCAAATGCAAGAGCATTCTGGCAGTCCTTAGCACTGGAGTGTACAAACAAATACTTCATCCACACCTTGTGTTCTCAATGTTCCACTGGGAGGATATATGGCCCAAGGTCAAGAATATGCAGTTTAACAATCTATCAACTCAAAATCCCTTCTACCATTCTGTTTTTGGGGCCTATGGCTCACAAGAAACAACAACCTCTTTGAGAATAAAATGAATATTGTCCCTGTTAAACAAATCATTGCTAGAGCCAAGGAATACTACCATGTTGTTGTGCAACACAGGGATAGAAGTGAAACAACTGATATCCACATCAAGTGGAAGCCACCTCCTGCTAGCTCATATAAGCTCAACACTGATGGAGACGCATGCCCAACATCAAGAGTATGAGGAATTGGGGTGTCATTAGGAATAGCAGGGGCAACTGGGTACTAGGTTATATGAGAGGCCTACATCATATCACTGGCTTATAGGCTGAAATTCAAGCTCTATGGCAGGGGCTCACATTAGCCCTCGAACACAAACTCACACCTCTTCAAATATGCATTGATTCCGAACAGGTTGTAAGAATGCTAAAGGAGGGAAACATGCATTATAACTCTATTATCTTTGAATGCATGTCATTGATGGAGCAACTGGGGAATCTAGCACTGGGGCATGATTTAAGAGAGCAAAATGAGGTGGCAGACCTCCTCGCAAAGGAAGGAGCAAGGAAAAAGGCTTTTGCTAGGACGGAAATTTTGACAGTTCCTCTAGTGTTTATAAACAAGGCAATGTGGGCAGACATCTTAGGAGCTGTTTTTTACGAAAATCAGGGTGAACTCCCTTGTAATGCAAGACAGTGTTAATGCAACAATACAGAGTTGCAGCTCCCAAACAATAATGTAACTATTTTGGTATTTATATAATTATCTAGTTCATAAAAAAAAAGGAATGAATGTAATATTAGAAAGAGGGAAAAAAATATACAGTTAAATCCCTTAAGAACTAGACTTGGCAATGAAAACTTTGAGTTAAGAGAAAGGATTTATTGGGCACAAAAGTTAGAGCTTTTGGCTAATATTGTTCCTTATCTTTGAGGGTAGGTCTATTTTAGTCCCTCAAATATAATCCTGAGCATATTTAGTCCCTTAAGTATGCTAAAGTGGAGCACCTTTAGTCTCACAGACACAATGGGCTCAAAAACTAACGGTGTTACCCAACTCTGATTCATGAAGCAAATATTCTGCTCTGAAACAAAACGTTTCCTCTCCTTTTATTGAATAACGCAAATTTTCACTTTAGTTCCTCATTTTTAGATAATGTCTTCTAAAATTTTGACCTTGAAAATATACCTTTTTGTGCCAGTTTTCAATGAGAAAATGACACTGTATAGCCGCTGTAAAAATAATAGCCAAAAAAATATAAAATTTGTATATATAT